CTGTCTGAAGATACTGCCACATAACGCGGGACCTAGCCTCTCACTGTCACTACGCTATTCAGGATCGATTGACCTTATTTCAGAAGAAGCGGGATATCCGATTGTCTAATTTAATACGCTTCTCCACTGCTTCTGGGGTAGTGTTTTCACAAAGCTGCCACAGAAAGATTTGTTATTATGGGATTCCCTTATGGGACTGGTAATTGCCACAGAGGCGGTGAGAATATTAGGTGGGCGACATGATTTATTAGGGTCTGATGGAAGGGACGGAAATCTGGGTGTTTTTATGAATACGGTGTCTCTCCAGAGGGAACTGCCGTGAGAGACGTCTACAGACGAGCCAGGCTTCACCCTCTAGTTTTTTTTAGGGGTCTGGGATCCTCAGTAGTAATTGCACTTGGCCAGTTGCATTCTGGGACATGTGACAAAGTGCAAAATGAGTTTTTGCTGCGTTTTCCCCAAAGCACACGCAGGGTTATTCAACTCAGGTCCTCGAGGTCCGAGCTCTGCTGGGTTTCCAGCCTTCCTTTACCTGTCAGTCAGGTGTGAAGCCTCTGACCAATCAGAATCAGTAATTATTAAACTAACTACCTGGGAGAACTGAAAACACGGCCTGGATTTGGAATCGAGGTCCAGAGTTGAAGAACCCTGATCTAACGTGTGTCCCCTTAGAAAGGAAAAAATAACAACATGTACAGTAACCGTTTAATGGTGAAGTGTAAGGTGTGGATGCTTTGGTGTGTAAGGGCTGGTGTTAAATCTGTAAAATGAAATCGCTAACATCTCAAAGGCATAGAGCTTGCATATCACTATTACTTTCCAAAGACCAAATGAAACCAGTAAAAGTGAGTAAATCAAATGAATCCAGAAAAAGTCTTATTTAAAACAACACACTGTTCTGTTTCAGATGATAATACGCCAAAGTTGGCTTTTTTTGCATTCTTTTCAAAAAGTGTATCATAAAAATAATATAATAAAAAATAATGCAAAAGCTATCTGAATTGGGACCCGATTATTATTGATATATCAATAGGTCACATAATACACTGAAAAGCGGACATATCTCTTTACCCCATAATTATGTATGTTGGCAGTCCATCAGGTCATTTTCATAAAAATCTAAAGAAATGGCAACATATTGAATAGCTTGAACATAAAGTTCAGCTTAAGTTCAGCTGGGACTGTTTGTTCTTCCAGGAAGTTCCTGTTCCGCGTCTCCAGGCCTTGCCTCGTCCCCTTTTCATGTTTCGGCGCGGCATCGATAAATAAACCCTAGCAGGAAAGTGCCGGAATTGATCTTTCCAGATTGACCAGGAGAGGAAGGGAAGGGAAGGACTAAAACAGGAGGCTAGGAACTAAATGTAAATGGGGTTAAAATAAAATCCATCCATCCATCTTTCAATTGTTTATCTAGTACAGGGTTGGGGGGGCAGGAACCTGTCTGACTGCCTCCCTGCCTGTATACCAATCAAACCATCTATCGTTACATAACACATGTATGAAGAATTCTTGTGTCTTTTTGTTTTTTTTATTTCCATTTATTGTCATTCATTTCATTGTCATTCTCCTTTCACATAAGACTCATGTAGTGCCAGTGCAAGACAGCAGGCAGGCAGAGAGCAGGCGTGTGCAGAAGGGGCGAGGCTGAGGGGGCCTCTTTCGACCATACGATCGAAACGGGCCACTTTGGAGGTTCCAAGTGCCCCTTTTCGATAACCGGCAATTACACAAAATTTGCTGAGGGGGATAGCCCACCCACGGTTGACCACCTGCGCTTTAAAGGATCACTTCACAGCACTGGTAGAGAGGTACTGGAATTACTCTGCGTAAATGATTCACATTTTATTTATGGATTGTGTGTTTCATGCTATTTTATTATGTCTTCCACTCTTTCCTCTATGTTTATCTCTTGCGCCTTATCATACTTGCTTTTATAGATGTGTAAATTCTTACATTTCATAATGAGTGTTTCCATCCATCCATCAATTTCCTGTAACCGCTAATCCTACTGAGGGTCACTGGGGGTCCGGAGCCAATCCCGGAAGCCACAGGCAGGAGGCAGGGAACGACCCAGAGTGGGGCGCCGACCCATCGCCGGGCAATAATTGTATTTCTAAATGTTCATAAACATTATGTCTCTAGTGTGATATCTTATTGTTATCTTTACCTCTGCAGCAATAGGGTGATTGATTCATGCTACCCTGGACACACATTTCTGGCAGAAATTCGCCGCGCTTTCATAGAAATGCCGTCTAGTTTAGCCGGGGGTTTACAAATAAGGCTCTCTGGCAGGGTTACGTCTCTGTTCTGCGGGAGCGATGGTGTCGACTTTGTTCTTACAGCACAACAAGTTTTCATTCAGTTCAAACATTAATTGTATTACACGGCCCATTACAGATTCATTTAAACCCCGAAGGCTCATTCCGTTTTATTGACCACATGTTTACAGAAGTCACTAAGCAACACGTCAAAGGAGAGGCTATGAAATGTGAAAGCTGGGCACAGGGCTTGCAAGGAACAGCTGGGGTATGATAACTTAATTGGACAGCACCGTACTGATGGAAGGAACTGGGCCACAGCACCACAGCAGGCGGGATTACACCCTGTCACTCACTGTTTATAAACCAATAGGAATCAGTGACCAATACTGGCTTTTAAATGTGAACAACACAACAGGCAACCTCGTCCTTGACAAAAAGCTTCTGTTCTTGACAACCCTCTTATTTTCTTCAGCTAATTATCTTCATTTTAGCAGATAGTGTGCAGCTGTATCTTTTTCATCTGGTGGTTTTTTCTTCTATAGCTCAAAGACATCTGAAGAAAATTTAGAGATGCATTTCCACCTCGAAGAAAACGATTTTTGTGTCATTCTGTAGTTATGCCACGCCCCTCACAGGTTTTCAGAGATCCTCTCTAACTTCAAGGTGAAATTCAACCGCAGAAGTGGGTATTAAGCTGAAAAAAATACAAGCTGTTGTGGATAAAAAATATTACAACAACAGTAGCAACAACAATGATAGTAATGACAACAACAATAATAATAACAATAACAATGACAACAACAAAACAATAATAACAATGACAACAACAATAATAATGATAGTAATAATAATAGTAACAATAACAATGACAACAATAACAATGACAAAAACAATAACAATGACAACAACAATAATAATGATAGTAATAATAATAACAATGACAACAACAAAACAATAATAATAATGATAGTAATAACAATAAGAAAAAGTGCCACAATGATAAGGGTATTTATGGATTTGTTTATCTGCTCTTTGCTCATATTAATGCGCCATGTGTCCTTCTCTTTCAGTCCCCCAGACGTGTTGATTGGCTGCTTCGGCAATGACCTGCAGCAGTAGTGCCTTTGCTCGACACCTGCTGGAGGACATCCATCTCACAGACGGTGCCTCTGCCCCTCAGCCAAGTCGCTCGACCGGAGGAGACCCCCGGCGCTGTGGCGTGGGAAGCCGGCTCGCTCAGGCAGGCTGGAGGGCCTCAGGGCAGGGCCAGTGGTGATGGGGGCCATGGCCTTTTCTGGGACAGGGTATCTGCCCAAGCGTGACCCGCTAACCTTCTGCGATGGTGACATGAAGGAGGCACACTGTGAAGCGACATACTTTTAAGTTCATCTTACATTTTTTTCGTTGTGGTCCCCTATGTATGAAAGTGATTGCTCTTTACGGTCTCGTGTGCCGTGAATCCGCGCCGGGCCAGACAATGCTGATCTGTGGGCCCGTGCGGCGGTTCCTCCGCCAGCTCAGCCTGCAGACCAGCCTGCTCCTGCTCTTCATCTTCTGCGCGGCCAGCGTCTTCATCTCGGCCTACTTCCTGTATGGCGTCAAGCGCGACCTGGAGCCGGTGGAGAACCTGCGCTCGGAAAGCCCGTCCGACTGCGACGGCTCCAGGGTCAACCCCTCGCGGCGGCCCCTCCTGAGGACCGTCGTCCCCTCCACCGCGTCCCGCACGGATCCCGTCGTGCTGGTGTTTGTGGAGAGCCTTTATTCCCAGCTGGGCCAGGAGATCGTGGCCATCCTGGAGTCCAGTCGCTTTAAATACCGTATGGAGATCTCCCCCGGCAAGGGCGACATGCCCACCCTCACAGACAAGGACCGCGGCCGCTTCAAGCTGGTTGTCTATGAGAACATCCTCAAGTACGTCAACTTGGATGCCTGGAACCGCGAGCTTCTAGACAAGTACTGCGTGGAGTATGGAGTGGGCATCATCGGCTTCTTCAAGGTGAGGAGCCGTTCTGGGGCATGTGGCTCAGCGGGTTAGGATGCCGCGCCTGTGACCAGAAGGTCATCAGTTCAAATCCCAGGGTCAGCAGAGTAATTTTGCCATCGGGCCCCTGAGCGAGGCCCTTAATCCCCAATTGCTCCAAAGACTGGCGGACCCTGCTTTCTCAGAAATGTATGTCGCTTTGGGTAAAAATGTCTGCTGAATAGGTAAGTAAAATGTCTGCAGGGAGAGTATTTTTTGTCATTATCCACAGAGCCAGGAAGAAGTAGAAGGGGAGTTGGTTCATGTTAGACCATACTGTACGCTGTAACAGTGATCTGAAGTTGGGATTGACACTCCAGATGATGTAAGATGAGAATAGCACTGCGGTCAGTCTCTGATCTGTCAAATTAGACCCTCCTTTGTTCAGCCCTATCAGTTAATCTGGCCTGCAGGCCCAGCGCGGGGCAGCCTTAAACATTCCCAGGCCGTTCTCTGTCTCGCTCCGCGGTCTCTCAGTCGTGAGAACAAAGACGGCCCTTCAGCTGCGTTCTCCAAGCTCTGCTGCTTCTATCCTGACAACTTTTAGCTTTGCCTTGGTGGGGGGGGGAGCATAAACCCAAGAGAATTAATATGAGGATGAGTGTGGTTACATCTACCGCTGGATCACGCTGTCGAAGTCTGATGAGACTTAGCAAGATTCCTTAAGCTCAAAGTAATGGGGGTGATTAAAAGCGGGGAGCCAAGAGCCATCGTTGGAGATAGAAATCCCGCAGATAAATTAGATTATTCTCAGAGAATAACTCCGCTTGTAAACTGTTTGATATTTTTCCAGCGGGACATCTGAGTTTTATTGCCATTTGCTCGTGGGTTCGGCGCTCCGCATTCTGTGGTTCTTGGCCGCTCGTGTAGTCTCAGAACACAGCAAGGATTTTGTTGCTCTTTAGCTTGTAACTTCTCTCACAGGCCATTATTTATGAATCAAACAATTTGACAGGTTTTCATGGCACAAAAGCAGAGCGGTGCAATAAAATTAGATGATTTGTATTCCCTGGGAGTTTGCTTGCATTTTTTACCTCTTTGTCTGTAATAATTGCCGGTCATGCGGTCATGTCTGGATGTGTTCTGTTGTCAGGATTACTGAACCACGACATCATCGTTCCCAGAAGAGTAAAGACAAAAATGATCCAAACTATGACTCTTAAACTCTTCTTTGCATCATCTTTGACTCTTTGCTCATTTGTTGCGTATGTGCTGATGAGGAATATGAGATTCAAACAAACAATCGACCTCACATTTACTTCACGGGATTGGTTCAGAGCTGTCATATGGCTCGGGTTTTCTATTTGTGACGTCTGGCCAATCATCAGTTATCTGTTATTGGCCTTTGGCCAATCATCAGATATCTGTTTATGGCTTCTGGCCAGTCATCAGTCATCTGTTTACGGCTTCTGGCCAATCATCAGTTATCTGTTTATCGTTTCTGGCCAATCATTATTACCTCTTTATGGCTTCTGGCCAATCATCATTCAGTCCCCAAATTCTGTCTTCTCCAGCTTATTTCTCATTTCATCCATGTCAATAGATGGTTGGGATGGTATGAGAAAATAAAGCTCCTCTACTGGACACCATGACTGGAGGAGGGAGGGGCGATTTCAGTGGCACCCTAGAAATGTGTTGAACAGCTTACAAGTCACCTACGTGATTCTCTAACTTTAAACAAGTCAAACTGTAAACTCCACTTGGACAGTTGCTTCTAAACACTCCCATTAACGTAGCAGCAGATTTTCCGTACGCTTTTGATGTTCACCCTGTGTTGTGTCGCTCCCTCCACAAGCGCCAGTTTCCTCCCTCAGTCCAAGGATAGGCAGTTAGGCTAAGCGGCGTCTCTAAAGTCCAGGGGTGTCGGAAATAGGGAAGACAGGGTGACCCCCACAATAAATAAACAAGAGCACATTACTTATCTCTCATTATAAATCTGTGAGTTACAATTTGCTGCGCATGCAGTGTTCGGGATGAAACATATGTACATAACGAAGATTGTAGTCTTGTGATGGACCAAATCATTTTATCATATGGATCATTTATTTTTATATCTTTTGTGAAAGTGTACTTGGTACTAGTACTAGTGTTAGTTTTATTTTAAATGACGAAATCTTGATAATTATTTTGAAATGTTTCATTGTGTCCTTACTCAACATGACCATCGCATGTGTGCCCATTGTGATGTCATAATGCCCATCTCCGCTGCCAGGGTCCCCCCAGTAGTGAAATTCCTAGGTAGATGCTTTCCTCTCCCCCACTGCAGGGATCCTGATGGCTGAGCTCTGTTCTGCTGTCTTCTGCACTCTGACCCTCCGTTTTCTTAGCGTTGCGATTCACTAGGTCTGAAAGGCTGGGAGTAGGACTGCCACTGAAGTCGAAGCGGGAGCAGGCTGTGTAGGGGGGGTGTGGTTTAACACCTATCGATCCAGAAGCTGGGTGCAGACTGTAGATGAGCAGGCGTAACAAATACGCCGCGTGGTGCAGTGCTTTGGACTTCTGGGCACTATGCAGTGCTGCACCAAATATTCGTGAATAGGTGTATTTGAGATATTCAAATATGATTTGAGAAGAAAAATCTGCATTACAATAACTGATAAATACCTGATAAATACCTGGTAAATACCTGTGCAGTTCATATTTTGACCATGGTGCCAGTACGACTCATCGCACAGGTAACAAATGCATAACATACAAGTAAGTAAACAGAAAAGACTGCAGTTATGAGCATTGCTCAGGGGGTGCCCAAGAAGCCACAAAGCATGGGAGCATTTTCAAAAAAGTCGCTAGCAGTGACGTTGTGCAAAACCCGAATATTCGAATAATCGAGGCAGGGAAAAATCAGCCGAATATTCGAATATGAAAATGTTCGTTGCTTGCAGCCCTAGTACAACACCTTCATTGATGCTTTGTGGTAATGGTATGGCGTTTAATCTGGCCAATGAATGAAGGAACGCTGTCCCCGCCTCCCCTTTGCTCCAGGCCAATGAGAACAGCCTGCTGAGTGCCCAGCTGAAGGGCTTCCCTCTCTTCCTGCACTCGAACCTGGGCCTGAGCGACTGCAGCGTCAACCCCAAGTCACCCCTGCTGTACATCACCAAGGCCAGGGCCGCTGAGCGCGGACAATTGCCGGGGGACGACTGGACCGTCTTCCAGTCCAACCACTCCACCTATGAACCGGTGCTGGTGGCCCGGGCCAAGTCACCGGAGTCCCCCCCGGGGGTGGGTGCGAGCCCCACCCTGCACGCCACCGTGGTGCAGGACCTGGGCCTTCACGACGGCATCCAGCGCGTCCTCTTCGGCAATAGTCTCAACTTCTGGCTGCACAAGCTGGTCTTCGTGGACGCCG